AGATGAAGGCTTACAGAACAAAATAGTTTCTCATTAAACAGTTAGTACACACGTTGCCCTAGGACAATGGTTACCAACCTCACAACACATCGACACTATCCCTACTCAACCTTGGGTTCCCTATCACCAGCTTTCCTGTCCTCTTTCACCTTCTAGTCCTTGTCCCTGGACTGCTGTGCCTCATTAGTCCCATTTGGTTTTATGGGGCTGTCCACTCCCCGGCTGAACGGTGAACCTCGGAAGTGACTTCACCACTGAGCTATTCTCGGGGTTTCTCCAGTCTCCTTTAGGCCAGTAAATCTGGTATTATTTTTGTGAGTTAGAATGTTGTTCTACATCCTTCTCCAGCTCTGTCCAGAACCCTCTGTTGTGACCCCGGTCAGAGCAGTCAGTGGTGGTAGCCGGGTACCATCTAGCTGTACTGGACTCAGTCTGGTGGAGGCCTTGGTAGCTGTGGTCCATTAGTCCTTTGGACTAATTTTTCCCTTGTATCCTGTTCTGTTCACACCCCCTTGCTCCCGAAGGGGTGAGATCAGTGGAGTATCTTAGATAGCTGCTCACAGGCTTTTAAGACCCCAGACACTACTCACCAAGGTACAATGTAGAACATTGCCTTTATAAACTGTGTTATGCCAACTGAGCTAGATGTTCCCAGAGACCATGGTCCCCACAACCCTCCACCCAGCAATTCAGTCCCTCAGGGAGTTTGGATGTGTCCATGGAGCTTCCGTGACCCTTCCTTGTACAATTGTGCTGGTTTCCCCAGTATTGTATACTGTCTCACCCTTCACCCAAGATACCACTTATCTATTGCCTATTTAGTATTCCCCCCCATCCCTCCCATCCCTGGTAACCAACAAAGACTGTTACTTTTTGTGTGTGAACTTTTTCACGGGTTTATACAATAGAGGTCTCATACAGTATTTGTCTTTTTGCGATTGACTTATTTCACTCAACATAATGTATAGAGCCATTTTTAAATAAAAATAAACTTTCTCTATTAAAACTGTTGGCATACATTTCACAAAAGAAGACATTCAAATGGCCACCAAACACATAAGAAGATGTCATTAGCCATCAGAGAGATGCAAATCAAAATCACAATGAGATACCATTTCACTTCCACTAGGACAGCTACAATTAAATAAACAGAAAACAACAAATGTTAGCAAGGATGTGGGGAAACTGGAACCCACAGTCTGCATTCCCACTGGTTGGAATGCAAAACGGTACAGCCATTGCAGACAAGTGTGGTCGTTCCTCAAAATATAAAAATAGAACTACTATATGACCCAGCATTCCACTCCTAGGTATATACGCAAAAGACTTGAAAGTAGAGACTCAAAGAGACTTGTACACCAGTGTTCATCGCAGCACTATTCACAATAGCCAAAAAGTGGAAACAACCTAAATGCCCATCAAGAGATGAATGGATAAACAAAACGTGGGACACACATACAATGGAACACTACTCCATCAGTAGAAGAAACGAAGTCTTGAAACCTGTTACAATATGGATGGAGTTTGAAGACATTATACTGAGTGAAATAAGTGTGATGTAAGTAAGTATCAGGAAGTGAGGTTGGAGAGGTAAGCCAGGGAGAGATTGTATGTTATACCAAGGAGCTTGGAATTTACCCTGCAGATAGTGGGGAGGTAGTGGAGAAAGAGGGAAAAATATAATCTGCCCTGATGGCGCAGTGGTTAAGAGCTATAGCTGCTAACCAAAAGGTCAGCACTTCAAATCCACCAGCTGCTCCTTGGAAACCCTATGCGGCAGTTCTACTTCATGAGTCAGAATCATCTCAATGGCAATGGATTTTTTTTTGTTCTACTTTAGCTTTTTGGTGCTAAAGTGGAACAAGTATTACAAGAGCATTGGTAATCAGGGGTCTGTCAGGAAGCCTTCCCCTCTATTTATTCCCCTTCCTTCTCAAGGACACTTCAGAGAGGCCTTCTCTGACCACTCTCACATCATCCCAACTTGCACTCTGGCTCACTCTCACCCTTTACTCTCTTCTATTTTTATTCATTTTTTTTTTAACCACCAAATGTTATGTTACTTGTTGCTTATTTGTTTACTGTCTGTCTTTCTTCATAACGGCAGAAACATTCGTCTCTGTTTTGATCACTGCTGAATTCCCAGTACTTACAACAGTACCTGACATACAACAGATGCTCTGTGCCAGTCTGATTAATTAATAGAGCAACAGACTTCCTCTAGCTGCACATCTTCTAGTTTCTCTACAAAAATCTCAAGAAGTAGATGCTGATTCACAGGGTGAAACAGTTGAGCCATATGACTCTTCCACTTCCATTCCTATTATTTCTTAACACCACTATCTTATACCATCAATTAATTCCTATGTTAGTCTCCTATTTTAGTATTGTGCCATTTATAACATGCTATAAAATAAGTTAGAGATTAGACCCTTATCAGGTATGTTGTTCCCAAAGATTTCTTCCCAGTCTGTAGGTTCTCTTTTTACTCTTTTGGTAAAGTCTTTTGATGAACATAAATATTTAATTTTTATGAGGTCCAATTATCTGTCTTCTGTTGTTCGTGCGTTTGTAATTGTTATTAATAATCTATCTCTAAAGAAAATTAGGTCCCATGGTTTTGTCCCTATACCATCTTTCAGGTACTTTATAGTTTTAGCTTTAATACTTAGGTCTTTGATCCATTTTGAGTTAGTTTTTGTGCATAGAGTGATGTATGGATCCTGTTGCATTTTTCTGCAAATGGATACCCAGTTTTGCCAGCACCATTTGTTAAAGAGACTGTTTATTCTCCATTGAATGGACTTTGACCCCTTGTCAAAAATTAGCTGCCCAGAGATGGATGGATTTACTTCTGGGTTCTCAATTCTACTCTACTGGTCTATGTGTCTGTCTCTGAACCAGAACCAGGCTGTTTTGATTACTGTGACTGTACAGTATGTTTTGAAATCGAGAAGCATGAGACCTCCTACTTTCTTCTTCTTCTTTAATACTGCTTTGGCTATTCAGGGCCTCTTTTATATGGATTTATTTTTATTAATTACAAAGTCTTCGACTCTATTTCCCAATCATATTTATTTTGACTTCATAAACATAGACAAACACATAGATGCAACCATAGATGTCTCTTGTGTATTTTAATTTTCTCAGACTGTAAAGTAGGACTAAAAAAGATACTAAAGATTAAATTTCGGCGAAGTTATTCTTCAAGGTGATTTTTATTAAGATAGAACTTGCCCAAAACTGAAAATGTTCACTGGTACTCACCTGTAAAAAGTGCATTCATATTAGAATATTTTTTAATAGCAAGCACATTGGCCACAACTTGTTTACAACAGTTTAGCAGACTAAACAGTAAGACTTAAGAACCAGAATTTTAGTATTACTAGTATTGATTCTTTTACTTAACACCATAATAATCAGTTTTAGGAAGCTATCTTTATTCTGCAATTCAAAAAAATCAATACTCTGTCCTGAAGAGATTCATCTACTGAACATTCATAAAATATCCCCATATATACCAGTACTTAGAAGCAATAGATTATATGGGAATAATGTTATGAACTACTTTAGTACATAAAGAAATCTTTTAGTACTTGAGGTAGAGCGTTTACATAAAGGAAAGGTCAATGAATCCCTTCTCTATCTACAAATACTCTCTAGGTGATGGATGCCATCCAATCCAATGTCTTTAAACACTACCCATATGCCATGATTACCAAATCTCCAGCCTGGACTTCTTTCCTGGAATCCAGACTTATTTCCCAACTGCCTACTCAATTATCTCCCACTTGAATATCTAACAGGTATCTGAAACTTAGCATGTCCAAAAACAAACTCTTGATTTTCTACCTCTCACTCCAAATTTATTTCTCCCGCAGTCTTTCCTATTTTAGTATAGGATAGCGCCAATTTACCAGCGGCTGAGACCCAAAATCTGGGAGACATTCTTGATTCCTCTCTTCCTCTCACAACCCATATCCAATAAACTCATCAGTAAATCCTCCAAAATATATCCATAATTACCCCTTCTAATTTCCACCTTCTTGCCCAGACCACCACCATCTCACATTTAGACTATGACAAGAGCCCCTTCTTATCCCTACAATTTGTTCTTAACACAGCAACAAGAGATTCTGTTAAAACATAAATCATAAAATCTCTGTCCTCTACTCAAAATCCTCCAATACTTTCCCATCATACACAAAATAAAACATTATAAATGCTTTGCATCATCTGGCTCCTCATCTCTTCTCTATTTTTTTTTTTTTTTTAATTTATGGCTTACTACACTCCAGTTACTCTAACCTTATTTTTGAAAGTTGAACACATTAAGCACACTCCATCTCAAGGACTTTACACTTACTCTTCTTTCTGATTGGTTCATTATTCTTCCACATATACACATAACATATACCCTCACATCCTTCATGCCTCTGCTGAAGTCATCATACTGGACTTTCCCTATCTTCATCTAAAATAGCACCCCTTCTATCTCAGTCACTCTCAATCCCCTCCCTATGAGCTAAAGGTAGAACACCAACTTCTACAGATGTTAGACAGCAGTTTAGCTAACGCCAACTTTGCAGTAACAAATATAATAATCATGTACAACCAATTCCACACTTCTGTATATTTCCTCTATCACAGTATTCATCACATTTTATGCAATTACTTATTAAATGACTATCTTATCCACAAGACTGAAAAAGAGTGGTTTCTTACATTATAATCTATTAGCATCTCATAATTAGAGCTAACATTTCTTGAGCACTTCGTATGTACCAAGCACAGTTCTAAATGCTTTAAAATATTAATTCATGTGATCCTTACAATGAACGTGTAAGATAGTTATCATCTTGATCCCCATTATAAATGAGACACAGAGGGGGCAGTTAGCTGACCAAGGTTATAGAAGTAGTAAGTGGTAAAGCCAGCATTCAAACCAGCTCCAGATCTTGTATGTATCCTTAATCATTATACTGTACTACCTCTTAATTAGCTAATGGGACAGAGTGCCAGAGGGAGGAGGCTTAGTTAATGTAATTAAAAGACTCTCTGAGGAAGTGGCATTTGAGCTAAAGAACGAATGATGTAGAGCCAGTCATGTGACTAGAATGTTCTAAGCCTAAGAAATAGAAGGTACAAAGGGATCAAGGACAGAAATAAGCTGGGAGGTAGGAGGGAGAGAGAGAGACAGCCAGAAAGGCCAGGGTGCTAAATAAGCTGAAGAGTGTTAGGAAATGAGGTTAGAGATGGAGGAGAGGTCTACATATGGACGCCTTAATAGGGAGTTTAATTTTATTCCAAAAGCAATGGGAAAGGCTGAACAAGGGAATGCTATAACGGAACCACTGAGTGCCTGCTGAAGACTCTCAGAGTTACTCTTCACCTAAAGAATCCAAGATTTGTTACTCCTCTCAGGGAAATGATAAATGGAATGACAGGGCAGGAACACATCACGCTGGCTAAGCTCACTGCTGGCTGAAGGCAATGTTGAGCTACAGATACGAAAACACCTTTTATAAAACAGTATACATGTAGCTACAATATTATGGTAGGCAAATACAAACACACACTGCTGATGGATCACAGAGTGCTCAATGGTACTTTATGGGATGAGCAGAAGGGAAGAAAATCCACCAGAACAGTGAAGCCAATCACTTAAGCAACTGCTGAAACCTTCTGGAGAGCAACAGTGGCTATGGATACTACTGTTAAAGTCCTCCCTACGACATTCTTCACAAATGCATGTATTTTTTTAAATGGTACTCAGAAAACTATCACAGTAGGCCTACTAAATGGTATATTTTAATATTTACATGCATGGCACAGAAATGCACTGGGAATGTGGGCTCTAGTCTGGGCTCTGTCACCAACTGGTACAATGACTGTAGGAAAGTCACTGAACTTCTAAGTCCTCAGTTTCCTTATTTGTAAAATGTGAGAACAGGAGAAGATGCATTTCAATTCTTAAACACACACACGTCCACATACTGCTATGGCTCTTCAAATCCATAGGTATGAAAAACTGTTAAGTGAGTCTGGACTGGCCTGGTATCATGTTGTGTAATACATATCGTGATACAAATATGAAAATCAGCATGCAATGTATTTTAGTGTTTTAGTATTTTAATATCTGGGTTGACAGGTATAATGAAATGGAAATCAATTTATAGCTAAAGGGGATAAAAACTGACTAAAGTTTTTGGACTAGATGTCAAATATTTATAAATTTAACATTACCAAATACTTGTACCTTATCTTTTAAGGATATTATATATGGAATATTAGTTAAAAACATAACAAGCATATAAAGCAAAATGCTAGGCTACACATAAGTACTAACCAGCTCTTCAATTACTCTCATCAATATTCAACATTTATCACCTGAGTCTCACTTTTATCCAAGAAAAATTACATAACTAGGTAACCTTCCAATTCTTAACTTCTATATACTACTTGCCATGATTTGGTAGAATGCCTTTTTTCAAGACAATTTAGACATATTAATGGGTAGTCTATGAAGGCTATGTTGGCAACACAGTGCTTCCATGTTACATATTAAGTTACATATGAAGATTTACTACATTACCTTCCTTTCAGTGTTTTTAAAATAAAAAGAGACAAGGCCTTATTCAAATGTAAGAAGGGGTCAACAGAAATAAATTAGTTGTCTTTATAGTGATTTTTTACCTTCAGGAACAACAACTACCAGGGATTTTCCTAGCATTCTCTGCTTTGTTCATTTTCTTACTTAGCTGTTAAAAAATCGAATTCTTACACACCATTAATCATGTTAGGAAAAGTAGAATGTCAAAGAATTCTCTCTACTTGATATCATTTCTTGTATAAAACTAGAATTAATTATTAATTAAACAAATACATAAACCAAAGGTAACAACGTAGAATACTTAGATACAAAATACAAAAAGTTACAGAGGTTACATTTGACTTTGCTTTCATGAGACTGTTCTTCCTTACCTGATGAAGAACTTCCAGAGTAACAGGGTAAAAGAGGTTTTCAATAATTATTCGGAGCACAGGACTTTGCCCAGATAGGACTGTGCCTTCATTGGTAGGAGCTCCAGAAAGGGCCAGGCTTCCCGGCTGGGCAGCACTGATGGCCTGCAATGCAGCTTGGGCTCTCTATAGAACAATGCAAAATGAGAATCTTTGATTACATATAGGCATGATATGAATCCTAAAAATCAGGTGATATAAAACAATAGAAAGCGATATAATTAAAATATAAATTCTACTTTCTCTGTACACACAGATTCTAAATTTGTACTCAGTCAAGAGTCAAATGACCCGTGCTGTTATCACAATGACACAATATTTAAGAAAGCTGCTTAAGTTTACTTGAAGAGAAATGGGGGGGAAAAAAAGGGAGAGAAAACTAGATACTACTTTCTTTGCTAAAAAAAAAGAACATCTCTTAATTTTTAAAAGACAATGTGGGAAAATAAAAGACAATGTCGAAGCAACATTAAAGACCATTTAAAAATCATTCATGTTCTTCTTCTTCCTTCTCTTCCTGAACAATTCAGTTCTAAAGCCTTTGGATAGCGTAAGATAGGCATACATGTAGGCAAGGAGAGGAGCTGCGGAGGCCCAGAGCGGGGTAAGGAGGGCCATCCACATGGGTAGGCACCCTGGTATGGCACACCAGAGCCTGGTAGGGTAAGGAGAGCATCCATGTGGTAGGGCTGTCTGGCAAGGGGAATCTAAGCCCAAATAAGGTAAGGAAAGTTATGTATGTGTGAGGTGACCCAGTGCTGCATATCAGTGCCTGAAAAGCATTAGAAGAGTGAGAAGGGCATCCAGAAGAAGGGTGGCCTGGCCAGGTGCATCAGCTCAAGAAAAGTCAGGGGCGTCCACATGGTATAGGTGGCCTGGTGTGGGGAAGACAGTGCGAGCAGGATGAAAAAGAGGTCTATGGGGTGGGGGTGAGCTGGTATGGAGAGTTAGAGCGTGAGTGGGTAAGGAGGTCATTCAATGAAAGGGCAGCTTAGCATAGAGTATTAAGAGATCAATCTGGAGTGGGTGGACAAGCTTCTAAGTATTATTCTCCACTACAAAAACAAGGATTCTTTGGAAAAATGTTTGGTTTCAGAGCTTGGGCAGGGAAAGTGCAAGTTCAGTGTGAACCTTTTTTTTTTTTTTGCCAAAATGATAGAGAGTGCTGAGAGAACGATGGGGACATATCAGAAGGACATAGCAGCCTGTTAGAAGGGGCTCCTACTGGCCAAGTCTGGAACAATTTGAGCAACAAAATAAATAATGATTGTAACAAATAATAACCCATCAAAATAGGAAACCCTGACTCCATACTGATGCAACTGAAAGTTGATCAGAACAGTATATTTATATTGTCTCAAAGTACCTTCCCACAAACTACTACCGTTCTTGCCTTTGTAATTAATAACTTTGCAGTGGAGAAGCTGGGCAAAGTGATCAAATAATACATCATCAGTAATGCAACAAACTGAAATTAGGTGCCACCCGACAGGATGCAATGAGAATGTAGCGTTACTTTTGAGATGCTCCTGTCAGAGTTATCCTGAATCTAATCATGAGGAAATATCAGACAAACCCAAATTAAGGTACACTCTAGAAAATACACTATGTTAATTTTTTAAAATGTCATGGTCATGAAAGTCAAGGAAAACTCGAGGAACTGCTCCAGACCAAAGGAGACAAAAAAAAGACAGGACAACTAAATGGAACGTGTGTTTGTGAACTGGATCCTTTTGCTGTAACAAACATTATTGAGACAATTTGATAAAAACGGTTCTACCGCTTTCAAAGTTTGAAAACTGATTTCAGACTTCTACTTCCAGCCCATAACTGGAGAGGAGGGGGGAGTCAATCAATCAAAAAAAAACCAGATTTGACAGAGAGGTTAGAATAAGCAAAGGCACTAAAACAGTTATTATAACTGTACTCTATACATTCAGAAAGTTGAGACATGGAAGAATCAAATGCAGTCCAATAGAAGACTAGAGGAATAGAAAACGGGAACGTTTGATATCTACACTATCTAACGTGATAGCCATTGCCCACATGTAACTGCTGAGCACCTGAAAAGTGGTTAGTGCAACTAAGGAACTGAATTTTTTATTTCAACTAATTTAAATAGTCACCATCCAGGGACCACATGTACTATATTTTTACGCAAATAATACGCATGTTGCAAGTTTTCTGCCAACCATTCAACTCCCTTGTGCATTACATTCCTAGGTGCACTATGCGCATTATATGTATGGGTGTGATATTTATGTGGGTGCGTAAATTTGTGAAAATACAGTCACTAGTGGCTACCATATTGGGTATCACAGCTCTAGAATGTCTAGGAAGAAACAACATCATAGTGAGCTTCTAAGTATAATAACTGTTCCTATTCATCTTAGGATAAAATAATTAAATCTTATCAAAACTAAGCATGCACAATGAAAAGTAAATTTAATCTCACTGACCTCTTTTATTTCATTATCCCATCACTCATTATATCAACACTTTTTATTAAATAATTCTTTATAAGTATGTGCTGCTGCTAGTATTGTTGTTGCTCTTGTTGTTATTATTACTGTTCTCTTCCCCTACCCCTTTCTCTTTGGGATAAGAAAAAATATAGTAGAGAAATTTGAGAAGCTGTGGCATATGTTATCCTAATAATTCTAGAGTTTTCAATATACTCTGCAATGGTACTTCAGAGAGTATTGAGTACAAAGCTCTCTGCGCAGCATACAAGAACTGTTTTTGACTTAGTAAAAATCTGAGAAAATAACACCTGAGGAAAAAAAGATAGATTTATTTTAAAATTAACTCTGTCCGTTCAATTTTGAATTAGACAAAAACATTTAGGTTAAAAAAAATGAGAAATGTCTTCTTCATATGAATATAAATCTGATGCTAAAAATTATGAGGCAGTAACCTGTATTATAAGAGAATTTTTAAATGGGGAACAAACTCTAGAATGGGTTATGTTAGCTATTCACAGAGAAAATAAAAGCAGTAGTATGGTTAGAAAACTAACAAAGATTTTACTGGAGTGGGGGAAAGAGATTATGTTCATCTAAAATTTAAGTATGTATGGATAATGTGAAGAAGACAACATTTCTAAAATCAAGATGGAAATTAACATATAATAAAAAGAACGGATCTTGAGTGTTTAGTTTGATGAATTTTAGAAGAAAAATTCTTCCATGGTCATCTCTTTGTAGATTTATAAATTTCTACCACAAGGTCATGGGAAACAGTTTACACAATAATAACCACTATTAACACAACCATTACTCAAATGCTGTACCTCAGAGTATGATCTAAACTTTGTAGCTATAATTTTAGTTTAAATCAAAAATACTTGATATTCACCTGACCCTCTGGAAAGTATATCCATAAGCTGGAAAAGAAGTAATGTGCACGTTTCAGGATGTTTTACTATCCCAAGAACAAAAGAAAATGAAACAATTTACTACTCTGGACGGCCGTCAGAATAAAAAGACATCTGGTACCTTTTACATATGCAAACAGGTACCTTCAATTTTGACTTCAGGTATGGATAGGACTTTGAATAAAAGAAAAATTATTTTATTTTATCAAACTTCAATGCATAAAAACTGCACGAAAGTAACAAAATGGGAAGGGTACTGGGAAAAAAATCACGGCTATCTAAGAATAAACTAGGTCATTTGGGCTGGCTTTGGTTGCCAAGCAACTGGGATTTCTCATTGTTTCCATCTGGAATAATCTAATCTTTAAGAGTCCCCCCCCCCCTTCAAGACTTCTACTAACATACTTAGGAATCACACTAATAACGAGAAAACTGCAGGACTTAAGGAAAAGGAAACTATTGAAAGGCATAGAGAAAAACAAACAAAACAATTTCTTCCTCAAAAATATCAGAGAGCAATATAAATATGTTAATTATCCCTAAATTAATCTATAACATCAACCCAATCTCAATTGTGGTTTTTGGGGGGACAGGCGTTATCAAATAATTCTTAAGTATAAATGTATATCTGGAGAAATAAACAGGAAATATTAACCAGTGAACTTCTGAAAAGAGAGCAACAAAAGGGCCTTGCCCTACTGTATCTGAAGCTACAGGACACACTGACACAGGAATGGAACAGAATGGAATCCGGAAGCTAATCCAGATTAGACATGGAACACATACCATGTAAGCAGCATACATATGATGGCAGATCAGGGAGACGCGCAAGCAGAACATGCAGGCATGCCAAACGTGTATGTATGCATGTTGTAAGTAGGCATAGTGTATTGTATGTAAAATTAGAATATGATGAAGGATGAGTTTTACATCTGTGGATAATAAACGGGTTATTCAATAAATAGTAGAGAAGAAACTGGTCACTTGGTGTTTAAAAACAAAACAAAAAGCAGCCCTATTCTCACTCCCCATACCCAGAAAATTCTTAAGAGAACACTAAACATCAAAATAAAAACAATCAAAACATAAAAGTATGAAAAGAAAACATAACTAATTTTTGTTTGTTTGCTTTAATCTTGGTATGGCAGACCTTTTTGAGGATGATACCAAAGCTGAAAACCATAATACCATTTTAAGAGACTTGACTACAAAAATATTTTTTAAAACTGCACTAGCAAAAATCATCATAAATAAGTTTGAGACAAGAAACAGGAAGAAATATATAATGGACAAAGACAGTTACTCAATATTGCTAAGAAACATATGGCTAAAACACCTATCAGAAACTGTTTAACTTTATAAATGATCCAATAACAGTAAATAAGATATAATTTCTCACCTATCATATTAACAACGATAAGACAGGAAAAGTGCTTGCTCATACATTATCAGTGGCAGCCTAAGTTGACACATAATCTTTCCAGAAAGCAATCATGCATCACGTATAAAAACGTAAAATATGTATACACTTTATGCCAGCCAATTCCACTGCCAGAAATGTAACCTAATAAGATAATGTAGTAAGTGTGCTAAGAAGTATATTATAAAGGTATCATTGTAGTATTATTTGTAAAATCATAAAACTGGAAAGTATCTCAATGTCTACCAACAAGAAATTAGATAAATCAAGGCTCTCCTATAGAAGGAAATATTATGCAGTCATTAAAAAGAATATGAAGTAACTATCTGCTATCATGAAATAACATCCATGATATACTACAGAGAAAAAAATATTTTAAAACATCAGGATTCCATTTGAGTAATATTAGATACATAGATAATAATACAGCTGAATACAGAAGGTATAGACAACAAAATATTGGCACCAGTTATTAGTTATCTCTGGGTAATTGAATTTCCCCCCTCCTTTTACTCTTCTGAATTTTTCGAATATTTTACCATGGGCATGTATTCTATTTAAAATCTATAAGGTAATTTTTAATTTTAAAAAGTTGTTTTTAAAAAATCTATAAGAATATCTAATATATTTAAGTGTATATAATTTACTGTATGCCTTTAATATCTCTTAGAACAATTTAAGCATTAAAGCAAGAAATGTTGCTGTTTTAAACAATATGGAAAACTATAATTTAAACTCAGCAGCTTGCATTATAATGCCTTTCAACACAATATCAAAGAGCTGAAGGAGTTCTTTGCCTACAGCAATAATACACAGGCCAAACATGCTCTTAATATAGTAAAAACTTCTTTCTTAAAATGTACTTGCTCAGTGGATAAATTTTCTCTACCCTTAAGTAACTTCAAATTACTGGTAATGCTGTAACAACTAAAAATGAACCTCGAGAGACACAAAAGATTTAACATGAACTACATCAAAATAAAAACAGGAACATGAGGTAAGAAAGGTTGATATTTCACATTCATCTTGACGAGTCAAAAACCATTTACTGAATTCTGTAAAAATTCTTCTTAACATCTGAAGTTCAGTTTCATTACAATATAAGCATGCCACTCAGCTTCTCAATACCTGTTATATCTTCTGTAAAAAGAAGGGACTGAAATGAATGACTTCCAAAGTTCCTTTTAGATTTGAGATTTTATGATTTTAAAGGAAAACACAAGTTTCAAGGAGGAAAAAAAAGTACCAGTCATTTCTAACACAGTAACTTCAATTAGGTTGCTAAATGTCAGTTTTCTTATTCTTAAACCGTGGGGAAAGAATCTGTATACGCAATCCTTACTAATAAAGTATCCTAAGATGAAGAAAATAACATGATTTTTTTCTCTGAAAAGCATAGAAAAGATAATTTTTAAGTTATGTTCTTATACCTATTTTTAAAAACGCCTTTAATACTTACAGCTTGATTAGGTAGATTGTCAGTCTTAAGTTCTCTATGATTGGAATACTGAATATAAACAGGCTGGCTTCGGAGGTGAGGAGTAACAGGCGTGTAATAATTCACCATAGTAACAGCAGCTTCCTCAGAAGCCATTTCTAAGAAAGCCTGCGGTAAACATAAGAAGATAATGTGAATGCTCATCTTTTTGAAACATAGTTAACAACTATTTTGTCATTCTAGCTTGCTCTAACTCATTCATTCTCAACAGAAATATTATGGTACCCAAGGGGGTTAACAAACCTTTGCTTCAAAGTGTATCATGAATGTTAACTGGAAACATATCTGAAAAGGTGGGTACAATGAAGGATTTGGGGTTAGGAAATTGCAAGTTAACTGATTTTATGTGCCTCTTGGTTTTCTTTTTGTTTCTTCTAAAATCTAGAAATAATTAAAAAGGCAAAACTGAATGTGTGCATCACCACTTCAAATGGACACTTTCAGAGGCTGGTATTTAACAGCTCTTTTCTGAAAAATCCCAGACTACCTAAAGCGCACTTCATCTTACTTTAAAAATCATCTCACGGTAGAACTACAAGGTGCTTTAAAGATATTAGTCAGCCCTTCAATTTTTAGATGACAAAACTAAGGCACAGCGTGTTAATGACCAAGGTCCACTTTAACCAGGTTCCTGAATATTAAACCACTATCCTTTCCACCATACGATGATTCTCCTCCTATCAGAGTGTTGGTTTCTGGTTGTCCAAGTATGGGAGAACACAACTTTCACTGAAGAAAAAAAAATTGAATGATCTATTTAATCGTACCAGAAATAACTAGCATCACACTAAACTTTTACCAGAAAAGAGTGTGATCTGGGGAACTTCGCTTTTTGCTTTAAATAATCTATACTTTTAATTTTTTCAAGGAGCATGTGAAATACTTGTAATTCTTAAAAGGCTTCCCAACATGAGAATTCTGTTCTTAAGCATTCCTTATAGAGGCATTAGGAGTTCCAGTCTAAAATGGTGGGGAATCATGCATGCAGCAATGGCAAACAGCATTATCTTAAACTACCGATAGCTCTCCCATCCCATCCCTCTCTATCTCCACCCCCAAAAAACACTGTGAAGAAAATCTTCTTGTCAGCATCTCTTCATCATATTGTCCACCCCACTCCTAATTACAGACTACTCGCATGGCTTTTGCAGTTTTTCTAGAGTTTAGTTTCATTTTCAAATTTTATGCACGTATTGAGGCTCTTTCTTTAAAAAAAAGATGTGCACATATATACCACATTTCACATATAATTTGGAGGTACTAGTAAAATAAAATAGCTTCTCATCCTCCATATACAAAATACTTTTTTTAGATAAAGGTGCAAAGGCTCGCTTGTTCAAATTATGGAAACAGGAGAACTTCCTATGTTAAATCAACATTGATTTGAGTCACTCAAGTGATTTTTTTGGATATCTGTAATCACTGCACTAAAATCAAATACTAACATAGAAAGATAAACATAGTAAGAGCTGAGACAAAAGAAGCCCTCTGGTATTGAAGTCTTATTCAGTATATGGTTTCTTCTAGTTTTCAAGACTCCTGTAACTTCTGTGGCAGGAACAGGACATTTATGGAGCTTTAAGGTGGCAGGTCCCCCCCCACCCATCTTAATGGTTAGTTAAAATACAGACGTACACTAACAATTCTGAGTCCTCAAAACTATCTGCAAGAACATCTCAAATTTTAAAGTGCAGAAACTTAAAAAAAAAAAAAAAGCCCAAACAGGACCTGAGCTTCTATCAGGAGTGATGGAAAAATTTGGAAATGTATAGTGGTGATGGTTGTACAACATGATGAACATAACTAATGTCACTTAACTGTACATGTAAAAAATGTTGAAATGACAAATGTTTTATTATATCAAAAACCAAAATCAAACCCTATGTCGTCGAGTCAATTCCGACTCATAGCGACCATACAAGACAGAGTAGAACTGCCCCACAGGGTTTCCAAGGAGCAGTTGGTGGATTCAAACTGCTGACCTTTTGGTTAGTAGCCGAGCTCTTAACCACTACGCCACCAGGGTTCCTTATTACATTTACCACCAAAAAAAAAAAAGACACTCATCAATACAATTCTAGTTAGAGAATCCAATTATTTTTCACTACAAGATAATGAGCATTTAATTAACAAGCATATAGCAATCACTTCAAATTACGTTTAAAACATTTATAGTTTATAGAATATGCATTTATTAACAATAAAAGTTACTGAACACAGAAAATGGCAACTATCTATCTATAAACCAAACTTTTTTTTTTTCTGCTTATCTGTGGATTCCCTGGGTGGCACAAATGGTTAAACGCTGGACTACTAACTGAAAGGCTGGCGGTTCAAACCCAACCAGAGGCAATTCGGAAGCAAGGCCTGTCCATCTGCAGGTCACAGCCTTGAAAACCCTATGGAGCAGTTCTACCCTGCATACATTGGGTCGCCATGAGTCAGAATCGACTCACCTGCAACTAATGACATCATCATCTTATTTGTTAAATGTTTCCACGTGAAGTCCAGTAAAGGACTATAACTTGCCAAACATTAGATATGATGCTTAGCTGCATCAATCAAATATGACAACTGAACCAATTAAATGCATCAATTGAAATAGCAATAGTCTATGAAGTAGTGATGTGAGCTAAACAGCAAATCAAGTATCACCAATAAATGAATGAACAAAAAAAAAACCCACAATAAACAAATAAAATTCCATAAATAAATAAATAGAATTCCACTATTAAAGGGAAATTTCAAGTCATTTATACTATTAAAAGGTATAAATGTCCATATGACTCACTTCAAAGCCACTATCCAACTGCAGCAAGTGTACACTTTTTCTAATTTTTGTAAGACAAGAAAATAGAAACGATCAAAGTAAAAACAACAAATAACAACAACCAAAAATCAGCTAAGGCAATATATTCTAAATATCTGGGTTTTAATCCTCTTTTCAACAAAGAATTCATAAATATTAATAATATTCACTATATGGGAAGAGAGCATCATTCTAACTCCTTGCTCAATGTTCAGAACTGACTCAATTTCTACCATTGGTCACATAAAGGAAAAGCCAAACAATGTCTTTGGAATGCATGGTTCTTGTCATAGGAAGTTCTACCTGCAAATGTGCATGTAGAACCTAAAAGTTTATATGTTAAAATAAAATTTTCCACATGAAGTCTGGTAAAGGAACTTTTCCGAAGGGCTGGATAAGAGGTGAAAATGAAGCACTGTCTGTGACATCTCCCAGTTCTATCCTGTCAAAGGGTTCAATTCTCGTAACATGGGGTGGAGAGACAACCAAAAGTGACTACCCACATGAAGGCTGGTGAAAATAACTCCCACTCAGCCCCCAATATTCCATCTTCCAAGTAGCCTGGAAAAAGATAATGCCAACAAGTGGTTCCAGTGAAGTCCTGTGTAGTTTCTTTACATCAGAATCTCTTGCAGGAGTATATTACTAAAGGATGTTTTTTGAACATCTTTATGATCAAAAGACAATTAACATAACAATTCCACTTAGCATTACAGATAAGTATAAACCCGGAACCATGAGTAGGCCCTAAGGAACTATGACATTACCTGCTGTCCCTCACTGACAATTAGTCATTAGCTACAGATGGCCCTGTAGGCTCTTTTCAAGCCAAATCATGCAAACCATGCTATTCTCAATAGTGTTAACAGTGTTAATATAAAGGTCTAAGGAGCCCTGGTGGTGCAAAGGTTAAGCGTTTGGCTGCTAATCAAAACGTAAGAGGTTCAAGCTCACCAAGTGGCTCTCCGGGAGAAAAGACCTGGTGATCTACATCTGTAAAGATTATAGCCAAGAACACCCTTTTGGGACAGTTCTACTCTGTCACATGGGCTTGTATGAGTCAAAATCAACTTGATGGCATCTAATAACAAGTGGCAGGTATGCACTATCTCCAACAGATGTAAGATAAATCTATAAACACAACAGGGCTAACTAAGGTATGCTATTTCACTTTTCTGGGTCTCAGTAACCTCATCTGAATTAAATGAAAATATTAATCAAGTAGTTTACCAGAAATAGGGAACTGAATTAGACATCATCATCCAATCTCTTTCATGCCCAACACTTATAAATCTATTTACCTGTAAATAGATTTTAATGTGTTTCTTAAACTTATTTAAATGAAGTAGAAGAAGCATAGTGACATATTACAATGTACCATAAAATGTCTAGGGCTCAGATTTGTTGCTTTCTTCTTTTGAGCAACGTTCTGTGTAAAAGATTTTCAGGACAACCCAAAACTAGGGGGAAAAAAAAACCCAAAGAATTGAACCCAGTGGGGTCTGAACGGCAACACGAATGCGTATGATTATTCAATATCAACAGGACAAATATTGTATTTTTGTCATGATCAAGAGAAAGTTTCCTATCTTATCTCAAGAAAAACCTATTAGAAGTCCCTTGGTGGCGCAGTTAAGCACTGGGCTACTGACTGAAAGGCTGGCAGTTCGAACCCACCCAGAGGTACCGTGGAAGAAATGTCTGGTAATCTGCTCTAAAGGTCACAGCCATGAAAACTCTAATGAAGTGCAGTTGCCATTCTATTCTAAAACACCTGGAATCCTCGTAAGTCAGAATCAACTCAACGGTAACTGGTGACTAGTTGGTTACATACTAATTCTACAACTAAAATGCATTATATATCTTTATCTAGATTTTGGAAAACTTATCTGTTTTTTAACTTGCCAAATGAGGTATAATTTATCTCTTCTTTCTCTATCAGGGTCTTCTAATATTTATAGGGTATTTTCATAAATTATTCCATAAGGAGAATAAAGTTTTTTTGTCAAGGAAAAGAAAGAGTACAGGTCAATAGATAAGAGATAATCCTGGTTTTTGTTTTTTCCCAACATTTTTATGGCTTCCTGCCATATAAAAAAAAATTCTACTTTATGTTCATAGAATGAAATCTGGAAAATACAGAAAAGTTCAAGAAAATAAAAATCATCTGTAACACTAACACCCAGAGATAATCACCCTGTGTCAATCTTTAAATATTACATACCTGGCTTTTTCCTTTCAAAATCAAAAGATTAGTTACTCTGCCAAATGGTAGACCTAATGATATGACCTCTGCTTCGGTGACATCATTTGGAATTTTGCGAAGATGGAGAACACGGGAAGGCGAACAGGGAGGTCTATCTCCTTTAAATTTCTTGTTGTCATTCCCATTAGCTAAAAAACAAGATTTTTTAAAAAAATTATTGAAACTAATTTGGGTTACATACTACATTAACCATACTGTCACATTTGATCCTGTAAGAGTTTTAGGTTTTGGAATTCAGGGAACTGTGGGGCTTGGGGTAGGGGGTGGGGGAAAAAAAGTATCAACCTGTCAATGAATAGGTTTTTCATTGCCAGTATTAAAATTTTTAAAAATTGAAGTTTTTTCACTTCAAGGAAAAGTATTAGGGTAAATGAATTATATTATTCTAAATGTCTCTAAATAAACTTTTTGTTGCAAATAGAGAATAGTATTTATAATGTCTTCGATGTATTTTTGAGGATAGTTTTCTAATTTTCTATTGATAAGTATATAATTAAAACAATAAATTTTAGAAAAGACTGATAGAAATTTTATATTTCTCATATCCCAAGGAGATCTGGATTTGAGCTATATGTTTATGAAAATTAAGTTTATTTCCTAGAAGTTATATTCTTTATTAATCTATTTTTAAAGTAGTTTCAGAAGCTAAACTGGATAATCTTATCCCTAACTACATAACAGTAGTTCTCAGCATAAGCATCACTGTGTTAGAAAGGCAAACTTATGCCCCACTCCAGACCTAATAAACTAAAAATAAAAACTCTTGAGGGTAGGACCCAGCAATTTGGGTTTTAACGATCCCTCTGAGTGATTCTGATGCACTCTGGAGTTTGAGAACCACCTTATAAAATAAAAAAAAATTCATCATTCCAGCACATAGCTAAATTTTATTTAACTCCTATTGTTTTAATGTATATAATAACCAGCATCAACAGGGCTGGAATGAATACTCAAGTTTATGCACATATATATTCAGAAATGTTTTTCCTCCCAAAATAGCACCATGGAAGACTGAATACATTTTTGTGGTTCCTCTAGGCTTGGCAATTTTTTATTATATGTTCAACACTGGGAACACTCAAACGTGTTTTATTTCTTTAAAGTGTCAAACTTTTTTCTGAAAATGAGTTAAGTGACTTGCAGGTTAGCTTCATTTTTTTGAGGGTTGTTTTAAACTTTGTTAGGGTAGGTTTAGAGTAGCCTTTATGCTAGAGCTAGTTTAGCCATACTGGTAAGGTATGTCTCCTCTGGTGTCTACTAAATTGTACCTCAGGTGTAAAGGTTGTCCCTCCTTACCCCACAGTATGGAAAGGAAGCCAGGGTGATTATAGGGCTCATACCTCATTGTTTCCCTTTTCTCTGAGATAATATTTCAGCCCCACCTCTTGTCCACCATCCAAAAAACAACTGCCTTATATTTTTTGCCTTATATACTGTGGGAAGGTTAAGTCTGGTCTCAGTTACTCCATTATGGTTAGAAGCAGAAGTCTAAACACTTTTCTAAATTACAGATTACAGAATTTCAATTACATAATTTACATGGTTGAACATCAATACTTCATGTGAATTTTCTTTAAACTTATTACTTCTCAGAGCTAATTTAAGGTGTTATTTAACCAATTTAAAAATTATTTATCAAGTTTACAGATTAATTAGTATATACATTTCTCCATTCAGTTTTATTCAAAGCAATTGCAATGCATTATCTGCTATCAAGTGCAGAGTACTCAAATGAATTTGTTTTAGCCACTGATAAACTTGAAGCCAAACTGATCAGACAGACTAGTGCTTATTATGCAATCATAGCCAGCATTCAGTATCTGTGGCAGAGACTGAAAATTTTGCTCCAACATCTTTTCTTCCTAGCTCCACCAATTTTTAGCTGAGCATATGACTGCCCAGAAAAAAAAGGCTACATGCTTAGCCTCCTCGCAGCTAGGAGGGGCTGTGTGACTAAGTACAAGCAAAAATGGTGTGTGTTGTTTTTTTCCAGAAGTGTCTTTCCAGTAAGGGAGGTATGTTCTTTTCTCTTCCCCTTTTCCTCCTTGTTGCCTGGGATCTCCAGCAACCATGCAGGACCATTTGCTAAACCCGGAAACAGGTATCATGTACCAGAGAGTACTGACTACTTCAGAACTTGCTGAATGTGACAGAAATAAACTTCTATATTGTTTTAGCCACTGATAGTTGCAGATAAACTTAATTCTAACTAGCAATTTTCTGTTAAAAAAAAAAAGAGGCAATTAAAGTTTGATTTGATAGATGAGATTTCAAAACATCATTTAAAAAAAAACTAGGCATTTGCAAAGCTAAACAGTATTTAGGCAGTTTATAAGTATTTTGGTACAGAAAAGTACCAACTACTACTCAGCAAAAATAACTACTGACTAAAATTTTTAAGAAATGGAAGGAATGGTCTCACACAGACTCAGGAGGAAGCTGTTAGGGGAGATTAGCCAATGGAGCAAGCAGAAACCACAAAGTTACAGAGTAAATGAGAGGTGTAACATAAAAACAGAACGTAGACAATCTTGAAAATAAATGAAAGCAGTAATATACAGTGATAGCCAGAGGAAGATAAAAGCATCAACGATAATTTATTTTCTTTTTAAGATGAGGGATAATTAAGAATATTTATAGTCTGGGAAAAGACAAAATTTTGAAGATTAGGAAAGAGGAGAGGCTGAGACTAAGTAACAGAACAAGCGACATAAAATAATTATGCCATGAAAACGTTTTCTTTTCAACAATATTCAGCCTTTAAAATGGGAACTCAATATACAGTCTTAAATTAAGCAACACGAGAAAAGCAAAATAAATATTCCTACATTTGTTTATATATTAAGTACATTACCATGCTTTAGGTAACCCCTCATCAGTTATGAACGGTAAGGAGGGAAGTACCCAGCTTACGAACAACTTAGTCTTTCACTGAACTAAAGAGACAGTTTCTGCAATTTGATACGTACTTTCGAAGAAGTATATATGCAATGCTAATTATTCAGTTTGCCAGCAATGATTTCCTGCTTACAAGTATTAATCCACATAATCTTTGTTTAGTTATGAAAGAAATGAGATTTGATTTCTTCAATATTCAACTTCATAGGAAAATTTTATTAATGATAATATGTAATGGTTTCAAAATTTAGGACTTCAAAATTTCTAAAAAAAATATTTTAAACATTAGTTAGCAAAAGATTACAGTATGTTTTTTAATTTTATTGTGGCAAAATATAAATAACAAAATTTGCCATTTTAACCATTTTTTAGCGTGTAATTCAGTAACATTAATTACATCGTAATGTTGAAAGAGATCACCACTATCTATTTCTAAAAGTTTTTCATCACTCCAAACAAAAACTCAGTACCCCATAAGCAATAACTGCCTTCCTGCCCCCAGCCCTGGTAGACACTAATAAGCTTTTGTCTCTATGCGTTTGCCTAAATATTTCATATAAGTGGAATCATACAATGTATTTGTCCTTTTGTGTCTGACTTATTGCACTCAAGATGATGTTTTCAAGGCTCATCCATGTCATAGCATGTTACCAGAACTTCATTTATCTCTATGGCAGAGTAATATCCTATTTTATGTATGTACCACATTTTGTTTATCCATTCTATTGTTTCCACCTTTTGGCTATTGTGAATAATGCTGCAATGAATACTGGTATACAAGTATCTGTTTGAGTCCCTGCTTTTAATTCTTTTTGATATATACCTAAGAGAGGAATTGCAGGGTCACATGGTAATCCTACACTTAATTTTTTGAGGAACTGCTTGTTTTCCACTGCAGTACATTTTTAACAAGATGCAAAAAGTTCTAGCCATAAAGGGGAAACACTGATAAAATAGACTGCGTTAAAAATAAGAACTTCTGTTTATTAAAAAAAAAACAAAAACATTAAGTATAAAACTAGCAAGCCATGGAATCCCCGAGTGGTGTTAACAGTTAACATACTCAGCTGATAACCAAAGACTGGAGTTCAAGTCCACCCAGAGACTCCTTGGAAGAAAGGCCTGGCAATCTATTCTGAAACACACAGGTTGGTCATGAATCGGAACTGACTCAAAGGCAACTGGTTAGCAAGCTATCAAGTGTTAGAGGATATCTGCAATATATATATGACAAAGAACTCATATCCAGAATATAAAAGAATTACTACAAATAATAGGCAGAAAACTCAATAGAAAAATGGGCAAAAGACTTGAATAAGGACTTTATAAAAATACATATCCAAATACCCAATTAAAAAAAAAAAAAAACTCATTGCTGTTGAATCAATTCCAATTTATAGCGACCCCATAGGACAAAAGAGAACTGCCCCATAGTGTTTCCAAGGGGTAGCTGGTGGATATGAACTGCTGACCTTTTGGTTAGTAGCCGAGCTCTTAAGCACTGTGCCACCAGAGCTCTAAAACCCAATAAACACATGAAAATATGCACAATTTCTTTACTTTTTAAGCAAATGAAAATGAAAGTCACAATGAGCCACCTATATATATCTACCAGAATAACCAAAATTAAAAAGTCATAATACCAAGTATTGGTGAAGTTGTCGGATAACAGAATTCACATTGCACTCCTGGTGACAGTGTAAAATGGTACAAAACTAGTAGAATCTACTCAAGATCCTTAAAATACAACAATTTCACTTGTAGATATATACTCAAGAGAAATGCATACATTTGTCCACCAAAAGGCATGTTAAGAATATTCAAAGTTTAAACCAAAAATATCACCTAAAGTCTTCTTAAAACCAAACAACAGTTTAGCTGAACTACTAAAAAATGTCTGCCTTGAGCATTATGCTCTTTCCAGAACTATCAATATGGGATCAAAGGGACAACAGCAACTCAAAAGATTAGACAGGAACCTTAGGGGGCAGTGAGTATATGTTAACAGGGGAGGAACAACTCAGAAAGAGGGTGAGAATGGCTGCACAACTCGAAGAATGTAATCAATGTCACTGAATTGTACGCGTAGAAACTGTTCAACTGTGCATATCTTAAACAACAAAATAATTTTTTAAAAAAACTAACAAATTTTAAGTTAAAAAAATTCATAACAACATTATTCATAAAGTGTAAATAATTCAAATGTCCACCAGTAAAATAAAATACAACATAGAACCTCTATTGTAAAAACCCATGAAAAAGTTCACACGCAAAATATAACAATTCTTGTTGGTTACCAGGGATGGGAAGGGTGGGGGGGGAAATACTAAATAGGCAATAGACAAGTGGTATCTTGGGTGAAGGGTGAGACAGTACACAATACAGGGGAAACTAACACAACCTGTACAA